CCGAGCCCCGCCGCGCCCCGCAGGAGCTCGAGCGCCCGGCCCCGGCGCGCGGCCGGTGGCACGCTGCGGCCTCGCCCGCCGAGTCGAAGCGCTCCAGCCAGGCTCTCGGCCATGGTGGGAGGGGGAGGAGGAGGAGGAGGAGGAGGAGGAGGAGGAGGAGGAGGAGGAGGAGGAGGAGGAGGCGGAGGAGGAGGAGGAGGAGGAGGAGGCGGAGGAGGAGGAGGAGGAGGAGGAGGAGGAGGAGGAGGAGGAGGAGGAGGTAGGAGGAGGAGGAGGAGGAGGAGGAGGGAGGGGGAGGAGGAGGAGGAGGAGCGAGGAGGAGGAGGGAAGGAGGAGGTGGTCTGGAGCGGCGGAGGAGGAGGAGGAGGAGGAGGAGGAGAGGAGGAGAGGAGGAGGGGAGGAGGAGGAGGAGGAGGAGGAGGAGGAGGAAGAGGAGGCGGAGGAGAGGAGGAGGAGCAGGAGGAGGAGGAGGAGGAGGAGGAGGGACGGAAGAGGAGGAGGAGGAGGAGGAGGAGGAGGCGGAGGAGGGAGGCAGGAGGAGGAGGAGGAGGAGGGAGAGGAGATGAGGAGGAGGAGGAGGAGGAGGAGGAGAGGAGGAGGAGGAGGAGGAGGAGAGGAGCGGAGCAGGAGGAGGAGGAGGAGGAGGCGGGGGGGGGAACGCGTCCCCAGACCCCCTCGCGCTGTGAAAGAATCACGACGGGCGGTTTGTCGCCACTTTCGGCCTCTAGGGGCCCTCACTGGGACTCGGGGCCCTTACCAGGCCCTCTCCCCGAGGATGGGGGCTCCTCCTCCTCCTCATCATCATCCTGCTTTTCCTCCTCCCCCTCCTCCTCCTCCTCCTCCGCCGCCTCCTCCTCCTCTTCCTCCTCCTCCTCCTCCTCCTCCTTCTCCTGACCGCTCAGAGCAGGAAAAGGTACCGATTCCGCTACCCTTCGCCCGTTTCACCCTTTCTCGGCCTCCTCGGAGGCTCTCGTTTCCACCGCTGGCTTCGCCTCGAAAGCCTAATCAGGACGCACCCCGGGAGAGGTCTGGGGAGTAGCGGTATCGGTACCTGCTTGTTTTCTTCATTCGCGTCTGAGGAACCTTCGAGACCTCCCAGATGGGGTCCGAGTAGATGGGGTCGGAGGCTCGGGCCGCATCGCCGATGCATCGGCGATGCGGCGCGATGTAGAGCCTGATCTTCTCCGCGCTGGCGTCGCCTACGCACCGCCGACGTCACCGATGCATCCCCGATGCATCGCAGGTGCATCGTCGATGCAGCGCGAGCGTCTGACTCAGACCCCTCGAGTCATGAAAAAGTCACGACTCCAGCTACCGACTTCACGTTTCTTGAAGTCCAGGTGAAAGCAATCTTCTCAAATTGAGAGCAATTGAACGTTAGGGGTCTGATCACAAGGTTGTACTCACTTAGAAATGTTTGGAATCCTGGCCCGTTTCTCTTATCCTTTTGCCCGCCTTGTCCATTCGCCCGTCCTGCTCGCCCTGCTTCCTCCTGCTCGTTGGGTCCCGTCTGCTGCCGGTCCACCGCCTCCCCGACTCTTTCGCGCCACGTTGGCCGCTCGGCGATCCGCTCCTCCTCCTCGATCCCTCCGTCGTCTTCCCCTCTCCTGCCCCTCTGCCTGGCCGTGCGTTCCCCCCTTTGCCTTGGCCGAAAAGGGTCCAAGCCAGGAGTGGCGTTGGGGGGGAAGTGGGGAGGTGGCGGGGAAGGAGGAGCCTCGTGCGCGCGCGCCCGCCACCGCGCCTGCTTGCGCGCGCATGGGGCCTGCGGCCCAGCAAAGTAGAGGGCGGGATCGGCGCCGCCGCCGCCCAGCCCGGCTCTCTGTCCTCGGGGCAGAGCCGCCGGTGGCTCGGGGCCTGCAACGCCCCCAGCCCCTTGGCATCGCTCGGACGTGTGCAGTTTTCCTCCGGCGAGGACCATCGAGGAGCATCCTTGATCATTTGGCGAAAAAACCACGCACGAAACCGAACAAAAACACACAGGAAATGGACGTCCGAGCGATGGCCAGCCCCCGCAGCGCCTTCCGTTGGGGAGCTTTCTGCGCGGCCGCCCTTCCGACCCTGGGGACCAGGGAGGCGCCCCAGGCAGGCCACGGGTACACCCCCAGCGGCCCTGCATCATATAGACCCACAGGAATGCCCGAACCGTGGCTGGGATCGAAGATTTGACCTCCTCATCCCCCTCCTCCTCCTCCTCATTCCTCCTCCTCCTCCTCCTCCTCCTCCTCCTCCTCCTCCTCCTCCTCCTCCTCCTCCTCCTCCTCCTCCTCCTCCTGCTCCTCCTCCTGCTCCTCCTCATCCTCCTCCTCAGCCTCCTCCTGCTCCCCGTCCCTCCTCCCTGATCATCCTCATTCCTCCTCCTCCTCCTACTCCTACTCCTCCTCCTCCTCCTCCTCCTCCTCCGCCTCCTCCTCCTCTTCTTTTTCCTCTTCCTCGTCATCCGTCGCTCTACCCCTTCCAATGCCCCTCCCCCCTCCCCCCCCATCCTCCGCCGCCGCCTCCGCCAAGGTATGCGCCCTCTCCTCCGCCCCCCAATTCCCGCCCCCATGCGCCCATCGGCCGCGCCCCAGGTGCGGCAGGGCCCACGTCCCGGAGAGCAGGGCTCCGTGGCTCGTGTCTTGGGCCGATGTCTGCATTCTGGTAGCCTTCGGGCACGGCGGGGACGTTGGTCAAGGAGTGTACCCAGGAAGCTTCGGATCCTGGAGGGTTCCTGATCTCAGGAGGGCGGCGGCGATATCCATGGCCACTCCAAGATTGGAGTTCCACAGGCTTCCAGACCCAAAATCCCTTATTCAAGGGTTCCTTATCGATTGTCCTCACCGTCTTATGCTTGTGCTGCTGCCAAGTTTTTGAGATAAGCCCCACTTTGGGTTCAGGAGGAGCCCCGGTTCCTCGGGCCGACCCTCAGATCCAGGTCGGAGAACTGACCCGTCGCCGAGTCCCGCAGTGACCTGAATCATATTTAAAAAACGTCGCTCTCTCTCTCTTTCTCTCTCTCTCTCTCCCAATCATCAGGAGGAAAAGGAATACATACGCACCTCATCGTGGATCCCAAAGAAAATAGGGAAAAGAGAGGAAGCGGAGGGGAAGACGAAGCTCTCGAAAAGATGGACAAAGATGGGGGCCCTGGGATTCGTGTCTATGCTCTGTGTATGTCCCCACGCTCCTTCCCAACGAGGCATTGCCAAGAGAGGCTCTTGCCTGCTGGTGGAGGCCGGGCGGGAGGCCAGGCGGGTGCCCGGCCTGGCCAGCCTTCTTTTTTGGGGGGGGGCGCGTGTGCGCTTCGTTACTGCGCTTGAGAGGGGTGTGCCCGGCTAGCCTTAAGTCGGGCGTGTCCGTCTACAGGAGGAATAGTCAAACAATAGTCTGGGAACGGTTTTTTCCCAAGTTTTTGAATATGTTTCGAATTTGTTTTAACCATTTTCTTTTTCGCCCAAAATCCGCCTGTAAAGGGACATGCCCGACCTAAGGCTAGCCGCGCCAGCTCACTCTGGGAGTGGCCCGTCCCCCCTGAGCGGCCCTCGCTTTTTCCCGCTGCCCCGCACCGGCCCAATTTGTCCGTCCTCCCCCTCTCCTTGCATGCTGGCCAGTTCGCTACAACGGTGCCTTCGTTCAGTTAGCTTCTTCCACCAGCGCAGACGACCCCTGCCCAGCCGCCGACGAAAAAAGTTGAGAAGGGTCCTCCCCGCTTGTCTGGTGTTGTTTATCTACGTTTGCGTTCCAACCTTTTCTGGTATTGCTGCCTTACTGCTTTTGGTCGAGGGGCGGCCCCTGGGTTGCATGATCTTGCTCCCGTACTGCGCACAGCAATGCGAAGCAACGCCAGGCAACGCCAAGCAATGCCAAGCAACGCCAGCCAGTCAGCACATTAGCAACGAGTGCCTAGTAACGCAGAGCAAAGCCAAGCAACGCTGAGCAATGCCAAGCAGTGAAAGCCAATACCAGGCAATGCACCTTCGGACACGCTTCCCTGATTGGGATCACGTCGGTCTCATCCGCGCTCCTCATGGCAGCATGACGGCTGCAGTCGCCCTTTTGGGTCGCCCACGAAGGCCCAAAGCGTGGGGAGCCTGCCGCACGAGCAACACATCGGCACTGGGGGGCAGGGAGCCAGCAGTTCGCACCGGACTGCTCGCTCCGTCCTGCTCTGTCCGGCCTGTAGCGGGGACACCCCGTCTGCGAGCGTGCAAGCGCGCTCGCGTTGCTCCTCGGCTGGGTGTTCCTTCTTTCGCGTGCCGATCTCAACGCAGTTCGGCCGGCATAGTCAAGGCAGGATGCAGCACTTGATGTGCTCGCTACCCGTGCAGATTTGGTCACCACCGTAGTGCCGCATCACTGCTGGCGGGGTGAGAAGCGCGCGTGCCATCTCTTCATTTCTCCGCCTCGGAGGTGTACAGGTCCACCCCGATGATGCGGAGGGAATGTGAAGGAGCGGGCCCTCCTCCTCCTCCTCCTGCTCCTCCTCCTCCTCATTATCCTCCTCCTCCTCCTCCTCCTCCTCCTCCTCCTCCTCCTCCTCCTCCTCCTCCTTTTCCTTCTCCTCCTCCTCCTCCTCCTCCTCCTCCTCCTCATCATCCTCATCCTCCTCCTCATCATCCTCCTCCTCCTCGTCCTCCGTCTCCTTTTTTTGTTCGGCAGCCGCGATCGCAGCATCGCAGCGGGATCGACGAGGAGCCGCCGACGCGCGCGCCTGGAGGAGGGAGCACGGGCGGGGAAGCGGCCTAGATGGGGCATACCCCCGAGACAGCCTCACCAGCCCGTGGAGCAACGCGCAGGGCCAGATGGTGCGTTCCGTAAAAGGCCTCGCCTTCGAGGTTCGAAGGACTGGTCATTTCTTCCTCGGCGGAAGGCGGCGAAAGGGCGACGGAAGGTCGGCGGAAGTAAAACGAGGCCGCTTCCGCCGGCGGAAGCCGACTGAAGCTCGGCGGAAGGCGGCGGAAGTGAAAAATGCGCCCCCAAGAGATGAAAACGTTTCTAGGTTCAGGGTGTCCGAAGGCCGCCAGATGGCGCTAGGAGGTCTCAACGCGCATGCATGCATTCAGCCTTTTCCTCTTCCGCCTCGTGGGACGACGTTCTGCATACTGTGGACCTGCCGCCAGCCTCCCAGGATTTCCAGGAGTTCCAGGGTCTTCGCGGAACCCACGGGATTTCGCTTCCTGCGGTGAGGGCGCATGGAGAGGAAGCGAGAGAGCAAGAGAAGAAGGAGCAGCAGCAGGAGGCGAAGGAGCAGCGTGCCCCTCCAGCTCCAACCTCTTCTGGAGGTGAGCAAGGTGAGCGTCGAGATGGATCTGACGCACCTCCGCAGCGGCTTCAAGCGGGGCTCTCGCCAGGAAGCCATCGAGGCTCGGACTTTATTTGGGGGGCACTGTCGTTTGTCAGTTTTGTCACGGGGGGGGCACAGGGCTTCGGACGCTCTTCGGAATCGAACAGGCAGTGCAAAAAAAAAAACGACACATATTGTCGAATACTTTCGAAGCGTGGTATTTGGACCGAGGTTTGATGATTTTTGCGCCGCGAGATTTCGTTTACTACGAGAAGCAATTCATTCCAAACGGTCGACCTGCGATCTGTGACCCTTTTTCGCCGTCCTGGCCCATGGAGCCGTCGACCAAAAAAACTCGACATAGCCCCAACCCTGAAGCGGGGCACGAAGGGGCCCACCTTGTGTTTGCAGTGTGTGATGTCCCCCTTCGCCCTGTTCGATCGAGCATTGGCAAACGACCCGTGGGCCCAGTAAGGAGGGGGTGGGGGGTGCCGAGGGGCGCCGTTGAGGCCGAGAGTGCACCCGCGCGTGTCCGGCAACGCTGGGAACCCAAAGCATGGAAGCCCAGGATGCAAGGGGTGCGTGCTACAGTCGACCCGCATAGGAAGGACGAACGACTTGCCAAGGTTACTATTGCATCCTTCCTCTTCGGCTCATCCTTGGCCACTTTCGCTGTCCGCGCCCCGCTCGCAGAGTGTCGGCATGCCCTTCCGAGTCCTTTGCATCTTTGCCACGCGTCCTTATTGTACGGGTCGACTGCGTTGAAACCCAGGACGCAGGAGTGCGTGTTAGTAGCGATGGGAGCCCAAACTCCCAGAGTCCTCACGGGAGCCGTGGAGTGCGAGCGTGCGGTTCCCAGAGCCGGTCCGGGCCAGTCGACCGCTGACGACCGACGACTTCGGGGGGATGCCCCGAGTGCGCCAGTCACGACGCAAACCAAACGGGAAAGATAGGGACGACGAGGGTGAAACATTAGGAACGCGCGAAGATCCGGGAAGAACCCGCAGGGCGACCATGATTCCGTACTATTTGCGAGCCGCTTTCGCGAAGAAGAAATTCTTAAAATTCCCAGTGGTAGGCGATTTGCATCGGACCGTGGCCGTCACAAATGTACATTGCGTCTTTCTTGGGGGGCGCGCATCGGATGGTGTTTGTTGGGAGGGACTACACCGAGTAGTTGCTTCGAGGCGGCTCTCAAGAATTATTGGTGCCAGTTGGATTGTTTGGGGAGCAGAAGGAGATTCGTACTATCGTTTTTCGGCGAGTGTTTGATTGATCTAGACTACACCGTGTATCACTGTATGCTGTCTATCGCGCGAAGAGTGCTTCTCAGAGACACTTTGAGATACCACACTCCGACACCCGTCTGGCGGCATTGCGATGCCATGACCTGGTTGATTGTGCTCATGTTGTCCAGGTGCACTTGATGCAAGCCGTAAGAATCGCAGGGTCTGCAGACTAACATCTACTAGTTGGGGGCAGTTGCCCGAGACAACTGAGACACGTTCGCGCCACACAAACGCGCACCCGAAGTGGATTTGCACGGGGGCACATGGAGAGCTGCGAAACAGGACCCTGACATTTGTTCTGCGCGGCTTTGTTCGCCCATGCGTCGCATGTTCCGAGTGCTCATGCCTTCTCTGACACCAGGGCACAGAAGGGCTGGAGATATGGTTGCAGGGGATTACAGGGGCGTCCGCAAATTTGTTGGAAGGCCGCAGCAAACGCACAGATGGGTTGTCCGCGGACGGTGCCGTGGTTGCTCCGTCTGCAGCGCCTTGCTGCAGGATGGAATAGGTGTGGTGGGCATGTGGGTAAAGCTTCTGTCGGGGGCAAGCAACGTTAGGGGGGGGATAGGGTCAGGGGGGGATGCAGCGACCCCCAAGCGCCCAGCCTCGAGGGGGGCGTATCTCCAGCCTCTGGCCGCACTCCTCCCGAGGTGGACCTTGCGGACGGAGGCAGCAGACGCGGCTCGGGGTGAGCCGTGCCCGCCGCCGCAGCTTGGCCTGGTGCGGGCAGCGGGGCCCGGACAGCTGAAGGATGCGCATCTTCCGGCCACCCAGGGTGCTCGGGCGGGGCCAGGACCCGGACTCATCGCTCGAGAGCGTCCCTTGAGGGGCGATACATGGGGGGCAGCGAGGGCTGCCGAAGAAGGGCCCTGCAGGGTCCCCAATGGGGGCCCCTGCGGGCCCAGAAGGGGGCCTTTGGGGCCCGAGAATGGCACCGTTCTTCCCCCCCATGTAACTGTCGCCCCCCCGTACTTCGCGCCCAAGGCGGGCCCAGGACCCCGATTCATCGCTCCAGAGCGTCCCGTGACGCTCTCAGGGCGTTCAGGGACGCTCTAGATCGACTACACGCAAGAGTAGCCCTTCGCCAGAGCGACCTGTGCTGCTTGCCTACTTGGATCTCCTGTATCGCCGAACGAGACGTCATAATAGCGTCTTGCTCGCTGGTGTTTGGGCCCCCCGCGGCCCCCCAGAAGCCGCGCACCAGAGGTCACGCTTACCCGGTATATTTCCTGCGTGTAGCCGACGGAAGACGCCGCGGCGGCCGATTGCCGTGCCTTCGAGATCCCCAGGTTTTGCCCCAGTCCCGTTTGGTCACGGTTCTGGCTTCGTCTTAGGTGTTGCTGCTCGCTCGGGGCCTGGCTCCCTCGGGGCCCCGGGAGGCCACCAGGAGGCGAAAAGCAACAGCCTTACAAGTGGTTGTTGAAAGAGTTTGGTGTTCTCACCTGCTCGGGTTTTCGACCGCCCAAGACGGCTCAAGAGGCCGCCCACTTTTTGAGCGCCCGTGGCATTCACACTCAAACGTCGTGCAGGCAGGCGCGGGGCTGTCTGTCCTCATCCAGGGTCGGCTTCCAGGACCCTAGGAGCCTGGCCCAGGACGCCCGAAGAGCCGCGGAATTTGGCGAGGCCCTCGGGGAGATTGTTTCTGTATCCTCTGGCAAACCCCCATCCCCCACCCCCACCCTTGGGTAATGGTAACAATCGTACGTGGAGGGCTGAACCCCCCCCACGCTGCCCCTACATGGCCCACCCAATCCAAGCATTATTGTTACCCGGGGCCCTGACCCCCATTGCCCCCCCCGTCCGGTAACGACCGCTACCGGAAATCATAAAAAGAAACTATCGAGGCCGTCGCCGTCTCACATGTGCCGTCGCGTGTGCCTCGTGTTGTCACCCCCCTAAGATCTGGGCGTCGCAATTTTCGTCGCAACGGGCGTTTTGGCCCCGTCTCGGGCCCTGAGACCCTCACAGATCGATCTGGCTCGGACAACGGGACAGAAAGAACGACTTCTTCGGGCACGGGCTCATTCTGCAGCGCCGGTCGATCACGTCCAGCGTGACAGTTGACGGGGTTCGGCGGGGCGGTGAACGGGGGGGTGCTGCGATACTTGCCGCGCGCAGCTGTTTTCGGCCCCTCAGCACAGTAGTTTCCCCAGCACGCGGGCGCGACTGGTGAGCTCGTCAAACGGGCTACACGTCGCTGGTTCCCTTTTTTTCTGAGCCCCCTTCCGTCGTCTCCATCGACTCCGGAGCAGTTCCGTCTCGGCTCAAAACACGGTCTGGCGACAGACGGTCCGTGTCTTCGGGAACTGCGGGCCATTGGACCATCAGTTACCAGAAGGTTTGGGGCCCCATGCCTCGATGTTCGTCTCCCCCCTCCTAGCTTCATCCTTTTCCCGCCCCCTCCTCGCCCCGCTCGCCGTCGAGACCCAGAGCACGAGAGTCTGGAGAGCGGTCCAGGGCCTAGGCTGTGCCTGGCCAGCCTACGGTGGTGCGCAACTGGCTGTCGGCTTTCAATATTGGGGGGCGGCCCCGCTCTCCCATCGAGCTTCCGAGGCACCTCTGTCGAAATGTGAGCCCCCATTGGCCAAAGCTAGGAGAACATGCTAGTGAGATGCCAGGATGCGAACTCCATAGTCCAGAAGGGGGGCCACTCTCTCAGGCCCCTCCCATTAGCCGCGTCTCGACGAGAGTAGTACTGTGAGGGCCACGCCATGTTTCGGAACTGCTCCGTGGTTCTCGATTGCTTGCCAAAAGTGGGTTCCCCGCACAGGGTCTCTGTCAAGCATTCAAAATGGATATGGTGGTGAACATGGCTGCAAAGGTTCAGCATGCCCGGCGACGTAAGGCGACGTAAGTCGCATCTTTCGATGTCTGTCCCAGCCCGCACGCCCAGAAGTTATTCATTCTGCAACGCTGTCGTGAAATGATACGCGCTGCTGTCGTGAATTGTACGCACGCCAATTCGATGTATTTCCGTGTCCCCGATGGCAGATTCATGCGCGAGGCGTGTTGGCGCGTGAAAAGGCAGAAAGGAATAAGTGGTCAATCTTTCGTGGTGGCATCTAGCATGTGTACGTTATTTGCTCATGCATGTTTGATTGATTATTTCGGATGGCAACAGGACGAAGGAATGACATGAGCCCAGGTGGTGAAAGGGTCGGAAGGTGTAGAGGTGATTGGCAATAAAAGTTCGGGATGGGTTACATTGAGTGCTCTATGTGCATGAGTCCGTTGGCATACATGTTCCCTGATGTTCCTTCTCATGGAGGTTTCGAGTGTCAGTTGAGTTGCGGTCAACTCCGTAGGATTGTCATCTCATCCTCTGGTGCAGCGCTGTCGGTTGGAACCGAGTTCAATGCTGCCAACTGCCCAGCGTTTCTTGACAGTCTTGTGCGCCCAAGAATGCTCCGTCTCAGCTTACCACTCGCAGACCTTATGTCTGAAGGCAGTACCCAGAGGCCTTGTGTAAGAGTTTGATACGTGGTTGGCCTCCGCAGCCCTCGATGGTGCATGCTGCTGTTTGCCGTTGTCTTGCTGGGCGACGCGGCCAGGAATTCCCGGCGCGCAGATGGAGGTGGCGCGAGGGTGTGGCCTTCAGGAATTCCAGAGGGGAAAGCGCAGACACCAGAATCGACGTTCCCCCAGAAGATCTGGAAAACGTGGGAACTGGAGGGGAAGACGAAGCCCCATAAGATGTGGAAAAAGATGGGGGGTCCTGGGATCTGTGTCTGCCTCCATGCGCCCGCTTTGATACGCAGCACGTACCGTGCTCAAATCGTGCGTGTCAATACGTTGCGCGTTGGTTCAACGTATTGGCCCACGTTTTGGCGAACGTATCGCGGTGAGGCTGAGTGTGAGTGGTTCGGACATGGAGTGAGTCTGAGTATGAGTGAGTACTAGTATGAATGGGTCCGAGAGTGAACAGGTCAGAGTATGAATGAGTTTGAGTATGAGTGGATTTGAGTCTTAGGGTGAGTGAGTCGGAGTATGAAGAAGTCTGGAGATGATTAGGTCTAGAAGTGAGTGCGGCCGAGTGTGAGTGAGTCTGGTGACTGATCATCGGTGGGTGGGCGTGAACGAGTCTCAATACGATTGGGACTTGATATGACTGATCCAAGTACGAGCGACTCAGTGGCTTCTGCCTCAATAGCGTATTGTTTCTGTTATTCCTAGTCCTCCTCCTGCTTCTCACACCCCTCCCCCGTGCTGCCCGCGCGCGTCTCAATTTGCACGCACACGCACACACAAACACACACGCGATACACATATATATATATATAGAGAGAGAGAGAGAATGGTGCGACTAGGCCCCGCGGCCAGAGACCGAGGTTGGTGCCATTGCTGTTCTGCCAGGAGTGCTCCGGCATGCCACTTCTGAACCCCCTTGGGTTGGGCAAGGTTTGTCTTGATTCACCGCAGGGGGCCTTTCATGCTGCACCCCCTCCCCCCCCAGAAAAGCCCTCGGCTGGCAACACTCGCCCTCCCTTGCTCGTCCCTCCCCTTCTCGCCCTCCTCCCCGCTCTCCCTCCTCTTGCCCTACTCCTCGCGCTCCCCTCCTCGCCCTTCCCCTCGTCCTCCCTCCCCCTCGTCCTTCCCCCCCCTCGGTCTCCTCCTCGCTCTCCCCTCCTCGGCAATCAGAACAAGGTGGCCGAACGGTCCTTCGTTGTCCCTGGGCGCGCGGCTAAAGTGAGGGCGAGGTGCGGATTGTTCCCGCGCTGTTGAGCTCTCGATCCTACCGAAGAATTGTTGTTGATCCCCCCCCCCTCCGGTGCACCTGGTGCTTCTCCATTGAAGTGCCCCCCCCCCCCTGGGCTCGCACGCTGTGTTATCTATGATTGAAGATCTTGAGCGTCGGATAGGGGGCGCTGGTCACCGAATTGCAACAACAACAACAACAACAACAACAATAATAACAATAACGGCTCCCGTCTGATGCTTCCTCGCAGTGTGCAGTATTCCGATAATCGCGCTCTCGCGCGAGCCGTCCTCTCAAGCAGTCCGGGCATCACGCTCTCGCGCAGTACGTCCCCACATGTTATTGAGACGCCGCGCCTTCGACACTACAGAATCACGCTCTGGGCTGGATTCCCCGACGATTTACTTGGGAATCGCGCTATCGCCCGAGACTTACTGACGCCTCAGCGACCCGCCCGCTTGACCCGGGCGTCTGGGCCCGCCCGCCCGACCCGCCCTTTAGTGTCCGCCCGCCCGACCCGCCCGTCTGGTTCTGCCGCTTGCACTCCTGCTCCTAGCCCCCTCCTGCAGATCTCTCTCGTGCTCCATCCTTATCCCTCCCTCTTGTATCTTCTCTCCTCCCTCCCTTCCCCTGGTTTAGGGGCTGCGCCAACTACACGTGTCAGGTAAGGAAGATGTACACACAAGGGAGGTACGGTCGAAGACAGAGAGGGCGGGTATCGAGGGTTGGGATACGCGAGCATATGAAAGCGAACAGTATCAAGATGATTGTTGTTGTTGTCGTCGTCCTCGCCCGCGACCTCCCTGCGACACACCCCGCGACCGACCCCGCGCCCGCACCCTCACTCTCATCTGCAACCGCGGGGTGCTACGCAATGTTGTTGGCGGGCAGCGCAATGAATCGGCTCAGCCCAAGATGCGCCGCTGTCCTGCAGCGCAGGTGCCCCAAGCGTGGCCACGCGGAGGTGACAGTCGCACACGGGCCAAGTTCGGCACA